ATAGTGCGACTCAAGGTAACATCATAAGAGATAAGGGAACGACCTTCCATCGGGTCCTGGGGTTTAGGGCGCTTGCAAGGCCTGGTGGAAGGGGGGGGGGGGGGAGGGTGCTAGGGTTCAGGGCTTTGTGTCGCAGTTCGGTCTGGAAACAAGGCATGTCATTAGATGCCCAACAAAATCATTCTGGTACATTACCCCCCCAGTCCTTCAGCAGAGCGGACATGCATTTCGCAGGGTGCAGCAGAGGGCCCACACAGTCATTGGCTATAGAACCTAACCCCGAAAGTGCTCTAAGCTTTAAGATAGTTTGAACCCTAGGGTTTAAACCCTAAATTAATTGAATAAAAACAAACAAACTAAATCATGAACCAATGAATTTATCTGTCGTGTGGAGTAAGGGATTACTTCACCGGGTTCCCGGCCTGTGGGTTTCCAGGGTTTGGGTTTTCAATCTTGTAGAGATTTAGGGTTTGACTCCGCTCCTTGCTGAGGGCGTTATAGGCCCCAAACACACAGAACACCCCCAAGGGGTCCAGGCCCACTCAACTCTGTACCTGCAGGCTCCAGTGTAGTTCCTTTTCGGGTTATCTAGGGGCTTGTAGTACACTACCCTCAAAAAGGTACTATATACATAGGAGCCTTTCGGATTCTAGTATACTGCCCCCCAACAAGGTGCTATATACATAGGAGCCTTGAGGTACCCACGATCCACCGGTCGAGACTTTTTTGAAACGCAGCTCCGGAACCGGCCACGCGCAGCGCGCGGCGCATTGAATTCGTCGTAATGGCCCCAGGGCTCCAAGTAGACAAACAATACCTACATTGGGGGGTCTAAAGTCTGTAAATGCAGAATTACCTCCAGTGGGGTCTAACGTCTGTCCATAATACCTACATTGGGGTGTAGGCTGTAAACGATACCTACTTTGGGCCATTTGGAGCCTTAGGGTAGGAAATCAATAAGTAGCAAAGGGTTGTGTTGAGGGATTCGGGTTTCGTTTAGGGAGAAACGCTACAAGCCCAATGAGTGCAGCCAGCCCGACCCTAAAACCCTCTCGCTAAAGCCTCGTACTCGATGTCCCCTGCGCACACCCTTATCAAACAAGCCCTAAAACTGCCTGTTTAGTTTATTTTGAAGGGGGCTTCTAAGGGAATCTGCACCCGAAGGGCCTAGTTGCTCTGTGTCCTAGTTTTTGAAGTAAGCCCTAACACCACAAAACCCTCAAGGTTTCGAGTTTGGGGATCAAGTCTATTTGGAGCTGCTCCGAAGCTGAACAGAGTAGCCATGCACCAGCCCTTGTACCCTTATAGTATATCTGTGGGCCCAACAGCTACTCTATGGGATCCCCTTGAATGCCCAAGTGTATACGATATAGGTACATGGACCCTTAGGGAAAGTATAAGCCCTCAACCCGGAAGCTTATCATTCCAGTTCGCCTATGCTTGCTAGTTCTCACTGACGAACTAGGGAATTCGGTACCCTCCAATGTTTTCTTCAAGGGCATGTATATATGTGTATAAATATAGAACATGGGAGCGCGGTCACCTTGTCTCTTGTGGAGTTCCACGGTAGTAGTGTCGCCCTCTGATGAAAAGAAGTAGATCTGGTGTTCTTGAACTCAGGGAGGGTTTAGAGTTTAGGGTGGCACAGACACAAACACACACATACATACATATATATATATATATATATATGGTACCCCCCCCCTCAAAACCTACCTTTTCATACCCTTTTCTATGTCGAGACGTTATGTTTATGAAATTCGAAGCCGGATGTATATATATATATATACATCCGATACGAAATATTAAATACTTAGAGACTCCAATAAAAAATCTCCAGGGCCAGGAGTTTTAAAACTCTTCTTGTGGCTAAGCAAGGAGTTTTAAAACTCGTGGCCCCGAAGATTGAAGATTGAAGATTCCCCAGAACTCTTTCCAGGAATCTTCAATCTTCAATCTTAGGGGCAGGGGGTTTTAAAACTCCTCTTGTGGCTAAGCAAGGAGTTTTAAAACTCGTGGCCCCGAAGATTGAAGATTGAAGATTCTCCAGAACTCTTTCCAGGAATCTTCAATCTTTAATCTTCGGTGGCATGAGTTTTAAAACTCCTCTTGTGGCTAAGCAAGGAGTTTTAAAACTCCCGGCCCCGACTACTTGAGATTGAAGATTCCCACAAAGAGTCCTGAGACATCTTCAATCTTCAATCTTCGGTGGCATGAGTTTTAAAACTCCTCTTGTGGCTAAGCAAGGAGTTTTAAAACTCCCGGCCCCGACTACTTGAGATTGAAGATTCCCACAAAGAGTCCTGAGACATCTTCAATCTTCAATCTTCGGTGGCAGGAGTTTTGAAACTCCTCTTGTGGCTAAGCAAGGAGTTTTAAAACGCCCGGTCCTGAAGATTTTTCTTATGGTTAAAAAATATCTTACAAAACTCTAGGCCATGGTATTACATATTGAAGCACTGAAAGTGGTTCCATTATATGTGCACAATTTCGACGCGCAGCTTGGGCTATAAACGCGCAGTTTCCAGCCATAGCATACTCCTCATGTCGGCCGTCAACATGAAGGTTGCGTGCGCGTTTAGGTTAATTGTAAGTAATCCTATATGGGTTTTGGGGCTTCTCCATAAAACGCTAAGCCCGGGACCTTTAAATCTTAACCCTATAGGGTTTAAAGGTTATGTGTTTCAACTTAATTGCAGGCTTAGGTTCAAAATCATATATCTTAAACCCTAAACCTTTAAACCTTAACCCTATAAAGTTTCCAGGTTGCAGGTTTCGTTTAATTACACGTCAAGGTTTAAATACATATATCTTAAATTCTAGACCTTGAACTAACGCTTAAAGTTTAAGGGTTTCGGTGTATTTGCAGGTCAAGATTTAAATGCCTATATCTTAAGCCCTAAACCTTTAAATCTTAATCCTACAGGGTTTAAAGGTTAAAGAATTGGGCTTATTTGTTTAATCCTATAGGGTTTCGGGGCTTTTCTTTAAAACTCTAAATCCTGGATCGATAGGGGTTTAGAGTGCCTATGTCTTAAACCCTATACCTTTAAACCTTAACCCTGCAAGGGTTAAAGGTTTCGTGTTTCCGTTGAATTGTAGGTCAAGGTTTACATGTCTGAAATTCAAATCCTAAACCTTTAAACCGTAACCCTATAGGGTGTTTAAAGATTAAGGGTTGAGGTTAAATTGCTTAACCCTATAGGCTTGGGGTTTTTGGGATTCTCGTTAGAATCCTAAACCCTGGATCGATAGGGTTTTGGAGAATAAGCCCTGACAATACCCTTAAACAAACCCAGAACACGCAGTGGAGTGAAGTGGAGGGGAGTGGGGGGGTGTGGTGGGGAGTGTTTTTTGGTCCTACTTATTTTGGAAGACCGACCCCTGGCGCCCTCTCCCCTTCTATTTAGAAGCAAATTAAGTCCTTATAAGCAAATTTGTTGCGTTGGAGATTGAGTGAGTACACAGATTACGTACCAACTCATACATACATATAAAGCCAATACACAGTATGAATATGCATGTGAGTATTGCAACACTACGACGACTTCAATCTTTAATTTGAGGGTCGATTCAAAACTGAATCGGCCGATTCAAATTTGAATCGGACATATTTCATCATTATAGGGGAGCCCGCTCTTTAGGACTTAGCGAGAAGGATTTAGGGAATAGGCGTTGAAGTGGGGAGCATCCCAAAGCTTAGTCTCCAAATCCTATTTTCTAAGGGGGCGCAAATCTTATCGCTAAAGCTTTAGCGTTAGCGAGAAGATTTATTGAGCAAGGTTGGCTTTTGTATGAGTTAGGGGGGGGGTCTCATTTTTGGGGATTTAAGGCTACTTAAGATTCCCTCTTTAGGATTTGGTGACTCCCTCCCACCCCTCTTCCCCAATATGATTTAGGGAGTGAAATTAAGGGATAAGATTGAGGGATCCTTCTTTGTTGACTTTAGCGATAAGATCTACTGAGTAAGGTTCTTTGTTTTATGATGTAGACGGAGAGGCTCATCTTTAAGATTTATAGTAAGGATCCCCCTCTTTAGGACACCCCTCTTTAGGGCTTAAGCAATAGGATTTAGAAAGTAAAACTAAGGAATGCTTTTTAGGATTTAGGGGATCTCTTCTTTAGGGTTTAGCCCCCCTCCCCCGCCCCCCACCTTTAGGCCTTAGGGAGTTAATTTCAGGGAACCAGATCTAGGGATCCCGATAAGATTTTATCCGAGCATCTGTTTAATTGGTGGGACCCCCCACCGCAATAAGAAAGGCAGGGCACTGCAATAATGAGACCATGGCAATGTATGCATTCTCTATTAAGCACAATAGGAATGTATTGTAGTTTCGCCGATCCAGACTGCAGCTCAGCAATCAAAAACGAAGCCTGCAGACAGATTTTTGAACACCCCCGGAAAATATTCATTCACTGTGGCGGTATTTCCCCATACGGAAACCCCCATAATGGAGGTAGTAATTCTCTTTTAGAATTCAGAGGCTCTCCTCTTCAGAATTTCAAGACTTCCCTCTTTAGGGCTTTGGGAAAAGACTTAGGGAGTAAAATCATGGGAATATGATTTAGGGATCCCACCCTTTAGGATTTAGCGAGAAGATTTAGTGAGCCATTTAGTGACCCCCCCCCCCCCCGCCCGCCCCAGATTTAGGGACTGGGGGAATATGATTTAGGGAAAACGATGTAGGAATCCCGTGCTTTCGGATTTAGCGAGCAGGATTTTGGGAAGAGGGTTTATGCAACAGAAAATTGTGTGAATAAGGTCAAAGGATTTAGGGAGTCGGTCTCATCTTTAAAGCGTTTTGATGTCACGCAAGTGTAGAAAATTAGAAAACGGTAGGTTTTGGAGGGGGGGGGGGGGTAGCATATATATATATACACAGTGTTTATATCGATAATTATCTATATAGAACATACAAGGGTGAGTTTAAGGATGTAAGTTTGTAATCGTATAGCATGGCACCAGGGCGGATACCCGAAAAGGCCCTGAACCCTGAACCCTATGCCTTCTCAGCTTCAGCGCTGGCCACCTGGGCGCCCAGAACATGCCCCCTAGACCTCTTACAAGAAGCCGGCAAGAGAAAGTACAGAGGTCTCTTTGTGAACTTGAAACTTACCTTCTTTGTAGGTTACTTAAACAACCTACACAGGATACTTCAACTATTCAACCCTGGACCTGAGTCTATGTCCCCTCTAGCTCATTCTAGGGGCGGGCCCTAAACCCTAAACCCTAAAACCTAACCCCAAAACCCAAAACCCAAAACCCTAAACCCTATCCCGAAAACCCTAAACCCTAAACCCGAAACCCTAAACCCTAAACCCTAATCAGAGTGATCTTTGAAAACAGGCTCTGACCAGCTCCATCCACTTCTGAGCCGAGTGGCAAAAGCCTGAAAATCAGGGGAGTCCACTTTGCCCTCCTCCTGCCGCGGTTTAGGGTTTAGGGTTTAGGGTTTAGGGTTTAGGGTTTAGGGTATAGGGTTTAGGGTTTAGGGTTTAGGGTTTATGTAGCGTTAGGGTTGAGGGTTTGACGCTGGGGAAGAACCAGAATCACCTACCCAAAGAGCACAATACCCCTGACGTAAGGAGTATACCCGGAGCCAAGGTCGGGATCGGTATCTTGATTTCAGGCACTTTCCTTCATCAAGGGGTATTGGGCTTTCCTTTGAGTAAACGAGTGAACTTTCCACCCCAAACCTAAGCACCTCTTCTGTTGTGGGAGCTTCCAAACCAAGGTTCCCCCTCCCTTCATACCCCGAATATGGCAGAACGCCCCTTACCAGTGCAGGACCCGAACCCATCTAATCAAGCCGCAATCAGCTGTATCTGAAGAGCCCCAAAGCTACTTGTCTCGTAGGCTTCCCAAGAACCCAATAAGCGTTTTAACTTCACAACCGACGACAGGTAGGTTTTTGATTCTTCAGGCAAGGAAGGTTCCAGCATGTTCCGTTTTTGGCTTCATCAGGCTTCAGAAGTTTACGGAAAATGGGAAGAAAACGGGGAAAAACAGCACCTCAGGGGAGTTTCCGAAAATTCGGGGGGGGGGGGGGGTCCTTTGAGGGGATTCGATTCTATTAGGGGTATAAACGGGGTACCCCCCCCCCCCCATTTTGGGAAATAACCATATAACCACAAAACCCTAAACCCTAAACCCTAAACCCTAAACCTCGGACACTGGGGGGCCGGGAAGTATACATCCTTTCCCCAACTGTTTGCCAACGCGACGCGCCTGCACCACGCGGCTGAAGAATCGAAGGGCCTGGGCGTAGCGCCACCGGAGCTGCCAAGGCTCACCTGACACTGGGATTCAGCGGCTAGGGTTTAGGGTTTAGGGTTTAGGGTTTAGGGTTTAGGGTTTAGGGTTTAGGGTTTAGGGTTTAGGGTTTAGGGTTTAGGGTTTAGGGTTTAGGGTTTAGGGTTTTTAGGTTTAGGGTTTAGGGTTTAGGGTTTAGGGTTTAGGGTTAGGGTTTAGGGTAGGGTTAGGGGGTTAGGGTTTAGGGCTTAGGGCTTAGGGTTTAGGGTTTAGGGTTTAGGGTTTGGGGTTTGGGGTTTGGGGTTTGGGGTTTGGGGTTTGGGGTTTGGGGTTTAGGATTTAGGGTTTATGGGTTAGGGTTTAGGGTTTAGGGTTTAGGGTTTAGGGGGGGGGGCCTGCCTCAAGAGCACTTTTTCGGAACCAAGGAAAAGGACCTCCCCAACACCCCACCTCCCCGCCCCGCACCCCTCAACGTTACCCTTTCACCGGGGGCCTGGGGCTTAGGGTGTTCTTGCGCTGGGCCCAAGACGTTAGGGAAGGCGGTTTTAGGGTCTGGGGTTTGCTAGAACGGAAGAGAAGCCCTTTGTTTCTTAAAGGTGTGCATCGGGATAACCAGAATCGAAACAAGTCGAGAGAAGAGGCACCAATGGTACCACTGTGTCGGACCCGAGCTAGGTGGATAGATCGGATTCCAGACAACCACCCGCCTAGGATACCCCAAACCCTACGTAAACCTTAAAACCCTAAACCCTAAACCCTAAACCCTAAACCCAAAGCATTGAAGCTTGAAGACTTCAAGGGTCGTCGGGCGTATGGTTGTTTGGACCTTTTGTGCCCAACCCGCGGTTTGGGAAGGTTCCCGTGGCCTCCTGAGGGACTAGGGAGCCCCGGGGCATGCTTAGGGTTCAGGGGTAGGGCGGTTTAGGGTTTAGGGTTTAGGGTTTAGGGTTTAGGGTTTAGGGTTTAGGGTTTAGGGTTTAGGGTTTAGGGTTTAGGGTTTAGGGTTACAGCTGAGGGTTCTGCAAGATAGTGCTGAAAGCCCCCAGGGCCAAGACCCTAAACCCTAAACCCTTCTTCCCCCCACACTACGCGGCAAACCTTGGAGTTCCCAAAACACGAACCCTTTACGAAAGCTGAGAACACCCAATCCTCATTCAGCCTCGAAAAGCCCGAAATACTAAGACTGCAATGACCTAGGACCCTTATAGACATAAACCCTAAGGCCCTAAACCCTAAACACACCAACTAAACAACCCCATAAAACTATAAACCCTAAACAACTTAACAACCCTAAACAACCCTAAACCACCATAAACCACCCTATACCAAAACTCTAAACAACCGCCAAAAGCCTAAGCAACCCTAAAACCACTAAAACCCAGCCTAAAAACCCTCAAAACCACCCGAAAACCCCCTGAAAACGACCCTCAAAACCTTTTAAAATGCACCCGAAAACCACCCTGAAAAACCCTGATAAAGACCATCCCCAAAAACCCTTATAAAACGACCCTCAAAACCTTTAAAAGCACCCAAAAACCCTTATAAAAACCATCCCCAAAAACCCTTATAAAAGCCTCCCAAGAACCCCCGACTTCCCAAGTCGGGCTTGCCACCCTCGTCGTCAAGCAGGCGCTGCACGGCCCGCGCCGCGCGCCTCTGGATCTGGAGCTCCGTACCTTCTTCGCTTTAGGGTTTAGGGTTTAGGGTTTAGGGTTCAGGGTTTAGGGTTTAGGGTTTAGAGTTTAGGGTTTAGGGTTTAGGTTTAGGGTTTAGGGTTTGGGGTTTAGGGTTTAGTGTTTCGGGTTTAGGGTTCATTGTCTTTTGGGCTTGATAGGGCTTAAGCATGGCAGGGTTTAGGGTTTAGGGTTTAGGGTTTAGGGTTTAGGGTCTATAGGGTCTAGCGTCTAGGGTTTAGGGTTTGTCTTTTGGGCTTGATAGGGCTTAAGTATGGGGTCTAATTGTAGGGCTTTGTTATCGGTGTGTTTAAGCATGGGTTTAAATACTCTTGGCTTGGGTGTTTGGGGCTTTATAGAAGTACTTGCGGGGTTTAGGGTTTTTCGGGCGTTTAGGGTTTTTAGCTTGCAGGGTTTTTAGCTTTCTTTTTCGGGTGGGTTGTTAGGGCTTGTAGGGTTAGGGTTTAACCCCACAGTTCAGGGTTTTGTGGGCTCAGGCTGAGAGGCTCAGTGAGCAGGGTGTAGGTCTGTTTAGGCCATCTGTTTTGCTGTTACCCGACTTCCGTTTTGTAGACTCCTATCCCGGAAACCAGGTACACAAAACAAAGAGGTGTAGGGATATCAACCCCAAGGCGGGATTCAGTGGTTCCGCGGCCTATGGCTTTCTGGAAGGTTTGAGGGCTGCGGGATACCCAGAGCGACCTGGTCCCAGATCTCCCGGGAAATTTATGCCCCTGAAAAGACTCTCTGCAAACACGAAAACACAATCCTCAGACCCTCAACCCTAGAAGCCCAGTTGGAAGCGCTTTTGACTCAGTAAGTAGGGCAAGTAAGGTGGGTTATGGAAGTTATAACCGGGTTCTAGGGGTAATAAGTAGACTTACTAAGTCAAAGCAGCTTCCAAGCATAGCCCAAACCCTACAGCCTAAACCCGAAACCTTAAACCCTAAACCCTCAACCCTACACCCTAAACCCTAACCCTAAACCCTAAACCCTAAACCCTAAATTTAGAGGGTGGGGGCCCCTGAGCTCCCAACTGCGGAAGGCCAGCTCAAGCAGGGTGGCCACTGCATCCTGGCAGTGTTGAGGGGGGTTGCTCCGGCTGCCCTGCTTGAATAATAATGCAAGGTTAGGGGGGGGGGGGGGGGGGGGGGGGGGGGTTTAGGGTTTAGGGTTTAGGGTTTAGGGCTTAGGGTTTAGGGTTCAAGGTTTGGGTGTACCCATTTAGGCCCACGTGTACATACTACGCATGCACGTGGATCCTGAGGGGTGGTAATAGGGGTTCAGGCCATCTGAGTTGATTCGGTACAGAGCCTGAGGATGTAGGGCTTTAGGGGTTTGGAGGAGAACCCTAACCCGGGGTGTAGGGTTTAGGGTTTATAGGGTTATAGGGTTATAGGGTTTAGGGTTTAGTGAAGGTTTACATACACAAGGGCGGCATCCTGCTTGGAAATGGGAGCTAGGAAGCTAAAGCGCCCAAAATCCAGGAGTTTGTAGGCCACGCACCTACTGCCCTGTAGACAAACCCGAATTTACCCTAAACCCTAAACCCTAAACCCTAAACCCTAAACCCTAAACCCTAAACCCTAAACCCTAAACCCTAAACCCTAAACCCTAAACCCTAAACCCTAAAAACCCTAAACCCTGAACGGCACGGGGTTCGGGCAGACGACGCCCCGCCTGGGTTGCGTGCCGCGCGTGCATGGACTCCGGGGCAATCAGCGCCGACAGGAGCCTTACTTAGGGTTTAGGGTTTAGGGTTTAGGGTTTAGGGTTTAGGGTTTAGGGTTTAGGGTTTAGGGTTCAGGGTTCAGGGTTCAGGGTTTAGGGTTTCGGGCTTAGGGTTTAGGGTCCAAAGAATTGCCCAAAACAGGATTAACCTCGTAGTTGTAATAAGATTATATATAACAAAAAGGTTCAGGTTCCTAACACCCAGCCCAAAAGCTTAAGTCTTCCGGACTCGGGAGGCTCTGGGGGGGGGGGGGGGGGGGTTGGGAGGTTTAAGCTTCAGGTTCTTTGGTCCGTCACCTAAACCCCTACTTTGGAGTAGACCCTGGAACAAAAGTACATACTTTAGGATAAGTAGTTATAAGAGGAACCCAGAAACAAAACAAGTGTTAAAAGTAATTATAGTACTCCAAAACCCAGTATGGGTCCCAAGGGCACGTTCGGCAGCGAGGCGAGCGATTGCATGCCGAGCCCGAAGATCTGCCACGGATGCGTCACCTGCCGGAAGCTCGGGTCACGGACTTTGTTTGTTTAGGGTTTAGGGTTTAGGGTTTAGGGTTTCGGGTTGAGGGTTGAGGGTTGAGGGTTGAGGGTTTAGGGTTTAGGGTTTAGGGTTTGGGCTGCCCAGTCCAAGGCTTAGAAAGGGTGCCCTTTTTTGCTGAAGGGGTTTAGAAGGGAACCTAAACCCCCCAAAAAGGGAATAAGGATACTACTGGGCATCCTAGGATGATGAAGGTTGGTGTCACATGTCACGATGCTACTTGCCAATGCGGAGAGGGGTCGCTACCACGGCAACGAGCACGAATGGAATCAGCGCAAAAGCCCGTGTACAAATTGGTCAACATGCATGCGGTTTAAGCCATCTTTGTGATACTATGCATTTACGTTTTCCATATCCTACATTATATATGCATATCCGAATATCCAATATAGTTTGACAAAGTATACTATAGTATATATATATATATATATATATATATTCTTTCATAAAATATGATGCTCTCTCTCTCTCTCTATATATATATATATAAGCTAAACGAAAACGCCAATGAACCCGAACTTTGAGCTCCCCCCCCCCCCCCCCCGGCAGCAAAAAAAACAACAAAAAGATGAATAAGTAAGTATATAAATAATAATCTGTATATATATATATAAAGGCCCTAAGGAACAATCGTCAATGTTCTCTGAGCTTCTTCGTTGCCAGGGAGCATACTGACGCGCTGCATATGCAACATATGCACTCTAGACTCTAAGCCCTGTAGAATGCATCAAGCGCAAGGACCTTTTCGATTTCGAAGCTACTCGCTGCTGCGGGCAGGTTGGCTTTGCCACTTTTGCATGACCTCCCGTACCCACATCTGCAACTCTTCGCAACCGCACGGGTTTGAGATGCTGCCCTAAACCCTAAACCCTAAACCCTAAACCCTAAACCCTAAACCCTAAACCCTCTACCTTTTGAGGTGCGGGGCTATTCTGGGCTTATAGGGGAGCTTCAGTGGGCAGCTCTAGGGTGGAAAGGGTCGAAGGTTGAGGGTTTTTGGGGGCATTTTGGGGGGCATTTTGGGGGCTTTTTGGGGGCATTTCGGGGGGCTTTAGGGGCATTTTGGGGCTTTAGGGGCTTGAAGGGGCTTGAAGGGGCTGTAAGGGCTTGAAGGGGGCTTTCGCGGTTTTTGGGGGGTTTTGTTTGGGGCTTTGGGGGTTTGCAGGGATAAGATCGTAAGGTGCTGAAGCAACGGCCTGACTTTGTCAAGCAGCTTCCTCCGCACGTTTCGAGCCGAGGCCGTCAAACTAGGGTTTAGGGTTTAGGGTTTTGGGTTTAGGGTTATGGGCTTAGAGTTTAGGGTGCTAGTTCGATTGCCTGTGCCATCCTTGCATGTACTCCCGAAGGCTCCGGTGAGTTTTCTGTTTGGGTTCTTTCTGAGGATCTCAACGGCCATACGGTACACAAACCTAAGGCACAGAGAATGAGAACGATTCAGGCAAGCGAGGCGTGTCAAGAGCGCCCGCTTGGTTTGCAGGCTCTATACATCATGGCCGCAGGTGGGCACTAATAGGAAATCACTAGACCCGGGAGTAACCTAGGAATAAAAAAAGATACCCTTTTTGGTTTTAAAAGGTGAATATGAGGCCAAAAATAGGAGATAAGGGCCTATACTCCGGGTCTTAGACTAGGGAATCACTCGGAGTGTCGGCACTTGCCTCCTCTTACGGCTTTGCCGACCTTGGCTGCAAGCAGAAGGCTTCTAGGCATCACCTAAACCCCTAAACCCAAAACCCCTAAACCCCTAAAAAACCCCTAAAACCCCCTAAAAACCCCTAAAAAACCTAAAAACCCCTAAAAACCCCTAAACCCTAAACCGCAGGGCGGAAATCCTCCACAGCCGCCCCTACCTCCCCACCAAGGCCATCGAGGTGCGGTTTTGCCTGGCTGGGCACGGCCCCGCGAAGGGGCAGAGTCCCGGTCTTTGTCCAAGCATGCGGCATCTGGGGAGGCTGGTGCATGTTCAGGAAGTCCTGATGCCTCCTTACAAGGAGGGGGACAGCCCTTGCTAGACTAGCTATAGGTAGTAAGTTAAGTCCTGAACCCTCAACCCTAAACCACAAACCCTAAAGTGAGGATCTTTATAACCCAATTTAGGGTCCTTGTAAATAATATAACTACAGGGATGTGGGGAGGGTCTACAAGTGAGGGCCACCCTTACCACACGAACTTTCGTGAAGGGAATTGCAACACAGATCGGAAGACTTATCAACAATTTAGGGGTTTAGGGTTTAGGGTTTGGGGCCCTGATAATGACCCTACTTATTCGCTTGAAGGCCCCCGCCCCCAGTTGTAGAAGTGACCCACTGCCCCGTAGCAGCCCGGGTCGTGCCCACAAACGACCACATGCAACCTCGGGGGGGCCCCAGACTTAAGCGTCCTTGCTCCAGGTCCCCTTAATGGTAGCGTTTAGGGTTTAGGGTTTAGGGTTTAGGGTTTAGGGTTTTGTGGTTTAGGCTTGGGGAATATGGGGGTTAGGACTTGAGGGCTCTGGATTTAGGGTCTTGGATGCATCGTAGAGGATACAAGGGGTTCGGACTCAGACCCCAACATGGCAGAAACGTTTAGGGTTTAGGGTTTATAGGGTTTATAGGGTTTATAGGGTTTATAGGGTTTATAGGGTTTAGGGTTTAGGGTTTAGGGTTTTGGGGGAGATGATAGAATACATAGAAAGGCGCCATAAGGGAATATGGCTAGTAATTATTCCGAACCCTATATTGCCGGAAGCCCATACAGCCTACAACCTCTATAACAAACTCTAGAAGCCTCCAACCCAGAAAATCCCACAATCCTTGAACGCCCTTCATCGGGTTCAGGTTTAGGGTTTAGGGTTTAAGGTTTCGGGTTTGGGGTTTAGTGCTATTATAAAGCTTCAGCAGGCCAAGTCTCCACCCTTGGCAGTTGCAAAAACATCCGGTCTTGTGGGTCGGGTGCGGCAGTGGCGCCCCACAGCGCCGGCACACCGTAGCTGCACGACCGAAGGCATCCCGGCCTAAGGGGCTTTCAGCTTCTTCTCTGAAAGCTTAGGGTTTAGAGTTTAGGGTTTAGGGATTCTAAGCCTCAACTCAGCCTGAGCTTGGGTTCGGTCGGGAGTGTCTGAGGCCGGCCCTGACAGCTGCACAATTCTCATCCACAGACCCAAACTCAAAGGCCGCCCCCCCCTACAGAAAGAGGGGGGACGGCGCTTCAGCCCCTACCGACCCAGGTCGCTTGCCCACCTCCTGCAGCTCGGAGGTTGGCAGCACCCACGACGGGCCCGGTACCCGAGCAGGTTCTCCCGAAACCAGTACTCCTTAAGAAAGCAAATGCCCTGAACCCCACTCTCTTCCCCTGCACGTCGCCAGGAGGACCCGGACCCCTCACCGCAGTGTGTCCAGGGACCAGGGGGCCTCAGGCTGGTCCAGGCGGGGTGGAACTGCGCTTTGGGCCTCTGTATCCCCCTGCATGCGTCGCTGCCCCCCTGGGCCCCCTCTCTGCCCTGCTGGCGCCTCTGTTGCTGAGACTGCCTGAAAACCCAGTCTGGGACCTGCCTAACCCCCTGACACGAGATGTGCTGGAACGGAAGAAGTTTTTGGAAGTGGGCGGTTGGCTTGAGTTTAGGCCTCAACCCTAAAAGGAATAGGTTTGTGGTGTTGCCGCCTGAGACGGCGTGGGGTGGGAGAAAGGTGTTATAGGGTGGCCCTCCACGATCGGGCCATGGCCGCCCTTTCGCATTGCTCCATGTCTTCAAAGCTCTACTGAAAACCGTCGCATTTGCAGCTTGTACGCCATACTGCTGCAAACCCTAAACCCTAAACCCCAAACCCTAAACCCTAATGCGCGCTGACGCTGAAGCCGAAAGTCCTTGTGAACCTTGTAGAGCTCAAGGGACTAAAAGGAGGGACCCTTATGAGGGACCTTAGGGTTATTTAGGGGCTATTTAGGGGCTACTTTAGTATACAAGTCCCTCCTTTTACCTCGTCCAGAACACCAAAGAATACCGGAGCGATTTGGGGGCTGACGATATGAGGGGTACCTTATTGGGTTCCTGTTTCTAAGGGATCCTACTATTTGGGGATCTATACCGGGAGTCTCCTATTTTCGTAAACCCCCAATGAGGGTAAGGGCCATGTTTAGGCATCGGAGTGGTGCGAAGCTCGCCACCTGCAACTAAACAAAGGGGTAGATATGGGGTTTAGGGTTTTGGGTTTAGGGTTTAGGGATAGATATAGCCAGTAGCTGCAGTACAGTGCCTTTGCTATCCTTCCTAGGACCTCTAAGCATAACCCTAGACCCGAACAAGCTCTTCGCACACGAGTTGCCACGCGTGGTCGTGGGATAGAGGTCGGGTTTCCTCCAGGGCGTCGCAATAGTAACGGCCTGTTTAAGTAGAGTCGGGACTTTGTCTGGTAGGTTTTGATCTTCTCATGAAGTTATAAATAGCCGGAAAGTACTTTTTGTTAACGTAGGCGAAAGGGGCTTGGGTTTGGGATTAAGTGACCCGAGGGTCCGCAAAGGAAAATATCGCAGGTTTTGGAAAGGTTCTTGCTGGTGCCACCACCCAGCAGAACACAATCTGGTTGAGAAGCATGGATTGGTCCGAGGACGCAGTGTGCAAATTCTGCCACACCGGGATAGCATAAACTCTCGGAATGCCTGTGCAAGCCCTTGTAATTAAGCTGAAACTCTGTATACTAGTGTATACAAAACTCCGGAAACACCCCCAATCCTGCCATCTCCTTGCAAGAAAATACTTTGGGAACTTTGTGTCCGTGCTCAGATGCAGAGATATACTCAGAAACTTCCGGTCGCCATAAGGTGATCTTCCTGAGAAAGGCGCGCGCCTAAACCCTAAACCCTAAACCCTAAACCCTGAACCCTAATTCCTAAACTCTAAACCCTGGCCTCGTCGCAGCCTGGCTGGCATGCGACACGGAGTGGTGCT